CTGGGAGCCAAGCACTGACCAAGAAGGAAAATTATGGAGGATTCATGCAAATTCACCTAAGACTCAGTAACCAACAGCTGCAGATCTCCCCAAACCGCCAATGATTTGAAGACTCCAACATAACACTTTGTCACAGCTGCTTTGTTCCAGAACTTTCTGGTTGTAAATTAGAGGTGAGAGCCTAATATTACACTTGGGTTTTCCAAAGACGCTGGAGAAGGCAGAAGTGTGTGATCTTCCAGGAGACACCAAAGAAGAAAGTGGGATTGATTGGAGTCATAGGACCAGATCCTCAACTGGTGTAAAGCAACATTGCTGCTGTGTAATCAGTGAAACTACACCCATTTACACCAGTTAAAGAACCAGCCCACATGAAGTGGGTTGCAAAAGACCTATTGATTATTTGGTCACCCTTGTCTCCTTACTACTACCCCATCAGTGCGAGACCACGTCTACCCAACAGCTGGTCAAATAGGGGGAAAAAGTGATTGGTGAATATTAGTGAATAAAAGCTCAAGTTCAGTTCCCTTTGATTCTAGGCGTTTGATTTGCAATTTCACAAGCAGCTGTTCACAAAAGTGTCTGTGAATCGCAAACATTTTATAAATTTTACATGAACGATGCTTGTGAAAACTGGAAACTGTGTTATTCACTATTCATTATTCTCTTGTTTAATAATGTTTGTCATCCAAACAGAGAGCAAAAATAACACCATGTGACTTATGGGACCAATCACACAATATGAACAACAAATGTCAGGGAGAAAATAGGCAGAGTGAACAGCTTATAGAATATCAGGGTTGGAAGGGACCTCAGGAGGTCATCTAGTCCAACCCCCTGCTCAAAGCAGGACCAATCCCCAGACAGATTTTTCCCCAAATGGCCCCCTCAAGGATTGAACTCACAACCCTGGGTTTAGCAGGCTAATGCTCAAACCACTGAGCTATCCCTCCCCCCAGACCTGGATGGGACCTTGAAAGGTCATTGAGTCCAGCCCGCTGCCTTCACTAGCAGGACCAAGTACTGATTTTTGCCCCAGATCCCTAAGTGGCCACCTCAAGGATTGAAGTCATAACCCTGGGTTTAACAGGCCAATGGGATAGCTCAAACCACTGAGCTATCACCCCCCCTAATAAACAACTATGCTGAAAATTGTTCACCCAGCAAATACTTGCAAATAAACACATTTAAGGAAAATCAGGATCAGTTCATGAAAAATTCACTCATCATAAAAGGGGTTAAATTGTTACGGCCAGATAGTAGGGTTACCATACGTCCGGATTTTCCCAGACATGTCCGGCTTTTTGGGCCTCAAACCCCCGTCCGGGAGGAAATCCCAAAAAGCCAGACGTGTCCGGGAAAATAGGGAGGGAGGGAGGGGCTGGCAGTGCTCGGCCGGGGGCCAGGGGCGGAGCCGGTGGTGTGGGGCCGGGGCCGGCGGTGCGGGGTTGGGGGCCAGCGGTGCAGGGCTGGGGGCTGGGCCGGGGCCGGCAGTGCTCGGCCAAGGGCTGGGCCCGGGCCGCGGGTGCTCAGGCCCGGGCCGGGGCCGGGGCCGGAGGTGCTCGGCCGGGGGCCGGCGCCCCAGGGCCCGAAGCAAGCCGGGCAGGAGACGCCGGGGCCAGAGCCTCTTGGCCTGGGCCGGCCTCCAGAGGGAGTCGCTTGGCCAGACTGGGCAGCGCCGCGCTGCGCCCCAGCTTACCTGCTGCCTCCCTGTTTCAGGCTTCCCGCGAACATTTGATTCGCGGGAAGCAGGGGAGGGGGAGGAGCAGGGAGCGGAGCATTCAGGGGAGGGGGCAGAGTTGGGGCGGGGACTTTGGGGAAGGGGCGGGGAAGGGGCGGAGTTGGGGCGGAGCCGGGGCTCGTGGAGTGTCCTCCTTTTTTTAAATTAAATTATGGTAACCCTACAGATAGTGATCATGTTACTCCAACTGATGAACAGTTACTCACATGAGGAGTCCCACTGAAGTCCATGGAGTCACTT